AGAAAGAAAGAAAGAAAGAAAGAAAGAAAGAAAGAAAGAAAGAAAGAAAGAAAGAAAGAAAGAAAGAAAGAAACTCAAAGTTGATTTGTGACACAGCATGTAAAGTTTTAGAAGATGGCAGGTTGGGTGTCAGTATAAGAAATAATGCTGGAAATTTTGGGAAGTGCCTAAAATGTCACATACTACGCCATTAAATTTATATTTTTCTTAAGTGATTGTATCAGCATGCCTGTCTTAAAAACAAATGAAAAAAATAAGTAGCTTGGTCAGATAGATACTTGAGTTGTGTTTTGTTGATGATAATATAAAGTAAAATTTTGAGGTCAGAGGAAAAAACTAACACAACTGTTTAGTTTATTTTTTAAAGGAGATTAGGCAGAGTTTAATTATTGATGAATATGGAAAGAACTGATTTTTTTTAAATCAAGGATGAGCTGATATAAATGGTACCTAATTACTGATTTAAAAAAAAAAAATGTTGCCTTAAATGGCGTATTAGATTCTGACCTAAGCATAAAATGAGTGAAAATTTTAAAAAGTCATCAACCTAAGGAAAAAAAATGCAGATTGCATAAAGACTATACTTGCAGGGATCAAATACAGGTCTGTAAGACAGAAGTCACTATGACTATGTAGAGCACCCGGGACCAGGGGGAAGGAATTCCCTCCTGAGTGTGAGTCTGGCTCTTGGCATTGCTTTTCCGTAGCTGCCTCTTGCCACTGGTGATCAATTTTCTCTTTCTTTGGGAGAGGAAGAAAGAGGGAATGCAGTCTGAGTGGGAAAACATACAGATCACGGTTTTCTTTCCAGTTCTAGATTTTCGTTCTTACTGTTGAACATGTGCATGCATGACGTGCCTGTGCGTGGGGGTGTTAGAGTATGGCTTTGTGAAGTCGGTTCTCTCCTTCTACCTTTACATGACTTTTCAGAATTAAATTAAATCCATTGGATTTCTACAGCCAGTGTTCCTTCCCAGCAAAACATCTTGCTGACTCCGAAAGGTCGTTTTTGAAAAAAGGAAGACAAACAATTTGGATATGTACAAACTATTGGGATAACTGTAGAACCACTAATATAAATATGAATGGATGTTAAGGACAAAAGGGCTATAATCAAGAGAGAACTATGTAAAAGATATAAGTTTCTATGTCAAACATAAAAGTGAGAGTTGAAACTATGAGTGTAGATGATACTGTCCAACAAAAATCTAGAGTTTAAAAATGTAGATTTTAATAAAACAAAAGTTGAATTTTTTTCTCTCATAGAGAATGCATTTAGTCTTAGATTTTAGTATTAAGTTCAGGGAGGGGGCTACAGCTAGGATACAAGGTAAATAAACAGTAATTAATATTAAAAATAAAAAATAATTAAAAAATATAACTTAAAATATAATTTTATCAAGAGAGCAGACATGGGGTAAGATGATCAATCCTCGTTTACAATGACAGATGGGATGTGCATTGAATGTATGACAGGAGTCTACTGAAGGCATCTGAAAGCCTCTAACTAGCAGTCTTTTCAAAGCAGATACAAAGACGCATAACCAAACCTTCAGCAGAGTACGGGGAATCATATGAAAGAAGGGGAGTTAGTATGATGGGGAAAGGATAGAAGCTCCACAAGGACCAAATATATCTGGGCACAGGGTCTTTTCTGAGACTGACATTCAACCAAGGACCATGTATGGATATAACCTAGAACCTCTGCTCAGATGAAGCCCGTGGTAGCTCAGTAACCAATTGGTTTCCCATAGTGAGGGGAACAAGGACTATTTCTAACAGGAACTCAATGACTCTTTGACATCCCCACCCCCCAAGGGAGGAGCAGTCCTGTTAGGCCACAGAGGAGGACTTTTCAGCCAGTCCTGAAGATACCTGATAAAACAGGATCAGATGAATGGGGAGGAGGTCCCCCCCATCAGTGGACTTGGAAAGGGGCAGGGTGGAGATGAGGGAGGGAGGGAGGGATTGGGAGGGAATGAGGGAGTGGGATACAGCTGGGATACAGAGTTAATAAAATGTAACTGATAAGAAAAAATAAAATTAAAAAAATATGCATAAGTAAAAAAAAGATAAAAAGTATAATTTTTAGGTTAATATTTATTAAAAGTTAGACTTATTTGACATAAAAAAGTTCATCATCACTGATGAGCTCTATGTCATCTTGATTTTCTTGTATGCTATCTTCTATGATTTTGCATTTCATTTTATGTGTATGACCCATTCTTAGGTAATTTTCATGACTATATAAGTGCAATTTCTAAATTAATTCCAAAATTTGCATATACCCAGCTGTTCTAGCTCTGGCTGTTAAAAAGAGTCTCTTGGTTCCACTCTATTCTGTCTCCTCCTCTGTCAGTATTTTGTTCGAAATTTCTGTTCTGCAAAATATCAACAGAATAAAAACAACAGAATTCAAATAAAGGATTGCTACCTAAGATATGCAAATGGCTTAAAATTCAACAAAATGAAAACATACAGCTTGATTACAAATAGGCAAAACAACTAATAGATATCTCCCCAAATAAGATATAAAATGGAAAATGAGTAAGTGCACATTCCTTGTGATATATCTTTTTTATTATTTTCTTTTTTTATTAATTACAGTTTATTCATTTTGTAGCCCACCTGTAGCTCTCTCCCTCCTCCCCTCCCAAACTCACCTTCTCTCCCTCTGCCCCATTCATACCCTTCCCCCAGTTCACTGATAGGGAGGTCCTCCTCCCCTTTCTTCTGATCCCAGTCTATCAGGTCTCATCAGGACTGGCTGCATTGTCTTCCTCTGTGGCCTGGTAGAGCTGCACCCCCCTCAGGGGGAGGTGATCAAAGAGCAGGCCAATCAGTTCATATCAGAGACAGTCCCTGTTCCCATTACTATGGAACCCAATTTGACACTGCACTTGGGCTACATTTGTGCAGAGTTTCTAGGATACCTTCATGAATGGTCCTTGGTTGGAGTATCAGTCTCAGAAAAGACCCCTGTGCCCAGATATTTTTGTTCTATTGCTTTCCTTGTGGAGCTTCTGTCCTTTCCAGATCTTACTATTCCCACATAAGATTCCTTGCACTCTGCCCAAAGTCTGACTATATTTCTCAGCATCTGCTTTGATACCCTGCAAGGTAGAGCCTTTCAGAGGCCCTCTCTGGTAGGCTCCTGTTCTCTTCCTTGTTTTCTACCTCTCCTGATATTCATCCTCTTTGCCTTTCTGAATGAGGATTGAGCATCTTACCCAGAGTCCTCCTTCTCCTTTTTGACTAGTTTCTGTAGGTTTTAGTATTTTAGTATGTTTATGATACATACATATATATATATATATATATATATATATATATGTGTGTGTGTGTGTGTGTGTGTGTGTGTATGTGTGTGTGTATCATATATATATATATATATATCATACATCTATCATATAATATACGTCTATATCCACTTATGAGTGAGTATATATCCTGTGTGTCTTTCTGTTTCTGGGATACCTCACTCAGGATGATCTTTTCCAGTTCCCACCATTTGCTTGCAAATTTTATGATTTCCTTGTTTTTAATTGCTGAGTAGTATTCCATTGTATAGATGCATCTTTGGAGAAAGAAAAATAAATGAAATAAGGAGATTCTCTTACAGACCCATTAGATTGGGCCTAATTCAGAACACTTATTTTACAAAATTCTGAGAAAAATATGGAGAAGCAGGCATTTCCATTCATTGTAGGTATAAGAGCTTGTTGAAAAACAGTTTTGAACACTCTTACCAAATTAACCATGTTCTTTTTTAAAAAATAAAGTCTGTTTATTATAGACTAATTTGATGTACCATAAAGGTAACCATGTTCTTGCACAATCACCACATTTTAACCTTTATATTTATCCAAAGGGATAAACATTAAAATTAGCACAAAAATGTTTATAGCAGATTTAGACTTGCCAAAATTTTAAGCAAGTAAGATATCTGTTAGTGGGTGAATAGATTGGCCACAGTGCATACAATCAATGGTTTATTATTCAGCCTGAAAAATTAATAAAGCCAGAAAAGATATGGAGGAAACTGAAATTTCTATTACTCAATCCAAAAAGGACATATGTAGATGGGCATGATCCAATATTCCTGTAATGCCAGCACTACAGTAGACTGTAGGAAATGGATTGGGAAAAGGTGGCATTCTAGAAAAGGCAAAATTTAAAGTATCAGGAAGAATATTGATTGTTAAGCAAGGAACGATAAGTTGATATACAAAGATGTTTAAGGAAGTAAAACTATTCTCTGTGGCACTGTGATATACCAATGGTGAGCTCTGATATAAAATATAAAAAAATCTGGGACTTTGTTTCATAAAACAACAGAGGACATCAGTTGTGACAAACACATCACTTTAGTGAGAGACATTCATGATAGGGAGTTTTGGGTAATGAGGGAATCTAAACCTGGGTGGGTGCAGGAATATGAATATGTAGGCAACATCAGCAACATCAACCTAAAAATCTCCTTAAATGAGGAAGTATATTAAAAGAAAGGCAAGAAGAGATGGAAATGAAGTAACTGACATTAGGAGCAAGGGAGATAGCTCAGATTACTACTGAAGTGTTGGGGGTTGCTCTGAAGTTATATTTTTATGCTAATTATTGGACCTCAAGATCTGGTTACACCTATCCTTGTATTGTAAACCTGCCTAAGACATTTTACCTGATTGGTTGATTAAAGGCCTATACCTGGGCATGGCAGAATGAGGTAGGTGTGGCTAAGGCTCCTGGGCTTTGGCTCAAGAGAATCACAGGCAAAAAAGAGATGGATGGGAAAAAAGAAGGAAGGAAGACACCAAGGTGTGTTACTGTAGAGAAGGCATCACATAGGCCTGGAGGAAGAACTCCAGTAAGGCCCAGAAAATAGACGATAGTTCAGATGAGGATGGTTAAGGTGGATGGCGTCGGATGAGGGCTGGGAGGTGGATGGTGAAGTTATTGAGATTGCATAGGTGAGATACTGCCCTGCTCAAGGTAAAAAGGCATTTTTAAAATCTACAAGGTACCCTAGTCTTATTATTTGGGAAAGCGAGTTAAATAATACCACTGCAATAATTACAGGGCAAATAATAACAAATATTATACAGCCCAATACATTTCTTATTTACTACAACACTAAAGAAAACAAGGAGAAGTGATTTTCTTAGAAGCAGGAGACATCAATTCAAAACAAAATACACACTAAAAAAAAAGAAAAAAAAACAGACAACAAACAAAAACAAAACTGAACAGAACAGAAAAGAAACTGTCAAGTTCTGTGCTCCGTAATCCTAGTGCTGGGAAGGGGAAGACTGGTGATTCTCTGGTGCTTGCTGGCCGGTCACCCAAGCATACTGTGCAAATTCCAGGCCAGTGAGAGATCCTGTCCCCAGAACGAAATGAAGCTTAAAAGACTGTCCCCTGGTTTCTGCACACACATTAACACATATACAAGTGCACATGCATACACACACACACACACACACACACACACACACACACACATGCAAAACAAACAACTTTAGAGAACTTTAATATCTAGAAGGCAAGAAAAAAGAACAACACAAGACTGAAAAAGATATTCAAGTAGGGACCAAAGAATAATATATTTGCAAAGGATTCAAGTAATGAGATTATTTTACAATTTGAGTGTTCTGGGTCAAATAACTTAAACAGTTCAGAGTGTACAGTTATTTTCAGTCTATCAACAGCTAGTAGAATTATTAGTTTTGCAAAATAAAATGTGATCTTATTTATGAACATGAGCTTAAAAGTAGATAAATATAA